GGGGATTGTAAAAATTATGTAAATTTCAAAGAAAATAAAAAAGATTATACAAAATCAGAGAAATACCAATAAAATGTTTGAATGGCATTTGTTGGAATAACTGGTGTGAGTGAGACCTGTTACCAGACACTTCAATTATAAGGAGCCATATGATACTGCTGTATACAAAGCATGACCAATTGGAGGCTTCATAGGCACCCCACGATTCAAGTATGCCAAAAGCAGTATGGACTGCTACCCAGAGATACTGAAACAGACCCTTCCCCCACCTTCCTATTACCATCTCAGTAAAGTCATCTGCGCAGCCTGCCCGTATTTGTTCAGCGGTCAGAGGGCTGTTCAGTGCAAAGGTCTTTTTCAGTCCTCTTTCATTCCTCACACTAGTTACTGCATCTCTCAAAGCGAAGAACACAGAGCATCCCAAGAAAAGTCCTGCCTCACCTATCCCCTGAAAAAGGAAAATAAAAAAAGTCAAATAAGTGGAGGTTTTGAGCAAATGAGAGGAGTACAAGCCATATCAATATTAACTGGAAAGCTTAAAAGTCAGTAACTGAAAAAGTTTTTTGTCCTTCAGCAAGGAAGTTTGGTTTAGATTTAGTGGAAGCAAGCTTAGATCACACCAAGTCTTCTGGTGGTAGCTTCTTCCAGGAAGTTAATACAGTTGATTTAAAATATTGGCTATTGATTTTAGAATCTTTTTGGCTTATTGCTAAACTGAAATTTAGAATAACTGGCAGATACAATTAAACCGATCCAAAACCAGGTACAGATACAACTAAGAAACAAAGCCTGAACTCATGATAATTCCCTGCAGACAAACACCACTGACCTCAGTGAGCTTGACAGCTTCTCACTGGTTCTGACATGAGATTCACCTTTTTTCCTTATCTCAAAGATAGGTCAAATCCACCCTTATTCCATAGTTCTCTCAGTGCTGCGGTATTGAACATTTTAATCTAGACTGGATTGGGATATTGCAATTGAATCTTATTTATCTCCTTGCTAAAATCTGAGAACCAAATGTCTTCCCAAAACATGGTGCACGAAGACAGAATCACACCTTACAATGAATTTTAAGGTTAACAGAAAAGGATAAAAGCTCTGTTTGAAGAGTGATATTAGTATCGGCTCTCTAGATCAGCTCCAAGTCAACTATGTAACTACTTCACCCAGACCATATTTTTTTCAAATACTTTTCTAATTATGTATTACTGAGAAAGCTTTAAATAATTTTTAAAGGACCTATGTGTTCTTTGATAACTTTCACTGTAAAATATGCTTTTTCCTTCTGTCATGCTATTTTATTTTACCGTATTCTAAAAGCATACCTAATACTTGAAACAGCTGGAAATTTGCAGAATTACCTTCATCTTGATTTACCATTACTGCTCACACGCAAGTTGCCAGAATATTTGCTGGTGCAAATTGAAGCAATGATTATACCAACCGAATACTTGAGCCAACCTCTCATACAAATACACACATGCAGTCCTATTTCTTATTGCATAACACACACAAGTAAGCTGCACACTCTTATTGTCATTATTATTTCTCCATCAATTTCTTTGGTATTTTTATTCTAACTCTTCAGTTTATCAGCACATTTTAAAAGTATAGTTGTAAATTCAGCTTGCAGCTTCTGTGTATGGTCTGTTAATGAAACCCTAAAATTATTATGGTTAGGATTGGAAGGGACCTTAAAGATCATCTAGTTCCAACTAGAACCATGAACCAACTTGTCAACCATGAAAGATATGCAGCAGTATCTCACATTATATCTTTTCATATGAGCTTCCCTGATCTGATGTTGTAAATAAAACAATTTTATGGACACTTGTTTGAAATGCTAAAGAAGAAAAAGGGCAAACTTACATATGTTTTATATCAGAGTAATTTCTCTGTCCTGGGATCTAAGAATTAGGTCCTGTGATGGTTTGCTTACCTTGGATGCATAGATGGCATAAGGATTTTGGGAAGATGACAGCAGTGAAACATTAAACTGTTCCGGAATATCACAAACAGCGGGGATCTTATACTGATCGGGACCCCGAGTATAGAGGACTCCTTCTGGAGAGTACTTTAATTCCTCCATTGTGTACAGTCCAATGCCTTGAACAAAAGCACCTTCAATCTTTAAATAAGAAAAGAAATAGTATTTGTGTTTTCATGCTTGGTAAAATGGGTAAAACTTTGGCAAGAACAGATTTGTATCACTAGCTGTTAGAAGACAATTTTCTTTCCTGTTTACCTAATGGGATTCTTCAATGATTTGGGGCTACCATGATGGGAAAAGCTTTCACACTCCTCTAATACCAGGCAAAGACAAATTGTTTCATGATGAAGTGATAAGATCTGTGGACCAGCCTGCAATGAATTAAAGTGTTTCCCTGCTATCAAGTGGGGAAGGCAGGTCAAACAACAGGAGAATTTGGAGACTGGTGGTCACAAACAGGATTTAAGTCCAGGAGATAGTAGACATATGTACACACAGAAAGTAAAATAGGAGTAAAATTCAAGTTTCATTGACATCTACAAAGCTCTGGCACTGACTCAAATGAGGCAAGTCTGCAAGTAAAGGATCTTCTAATATGATGTATGTTTTATAATATTTTCTAGTAAGAAATCAACATCTTCTAAATTAATGAGGTAATTTTAACTTCAGATAAGGCTATCGGTGTAATAGAAATAAGACAGCAGGAAATTCTTGGCACATACTTGTCCTATATCCACAGCTGGATTTATGCTGCATCCAATGTCCATAACAATGTCTGTTCTGAGGTTCTGTCAATAAAATTCAAGTGCATATTATTGAAAGTGATGCATGGAGTGGAGGTACTAGAACATAATGCGGGTTAGAGTTGGTATTCAGTGGAATAATACATGCTAAGATAGAGACCCCTCTGTATACACAATTTCAAAGTAATTTCCAATAGCCCATTACGAGCAAAATGGGCTTGTCTCACCTTTAACAGAAGTTTAGCCAGGGACAGCCCTGCCAGATGTTTCCTGTTGCACGAGGAAATCCCCACATAAATAAGTACAGATAGAGGGTATATGATCAGCAGTCTATGACATTTAGCTGTCTAGATGGTCAAAAGCTTGGCAATAGAATATTTAGCTCTGCTGTAATTTGTTTGCTGGCAAACAGGAAGAGAACAAGCAAAGAACATGTCAGATGTCTGCCATAGCCCAAAAGGTGAACCCATATGACATCAATACAGATGTGCCAAAAGCTAGTTAATGCCGCACAGCTTTCATTCTGCTCCACCTGTAATTTGCATTTACACTGTTGATATATTTAGTACAATGTGAAGTCAGGTGACTTATTAATGCAAAACCTAAGTTGTTGGAGCATCCAGTGATACAAATTTCATTCACATTATTTACATAACTTCCATGACACTCAGTTATTACCTTGTGATCTCCTGTTAGACAGTTAATTTCAACCTCTGAACAAGCAGCTCCATAAAGAAAATACGTGAAGGGCTGACCTTCCCCTTTCTCCCAATCCATGTTTTCATTGTAACCTCTGATGGATGAAACAAAGGCCACAAGAAGAAAGTTAGTGAATGTTTGCATCATAACAAAGCAGACTAGCACATGAAAGTTTGAAACTGCTTCAAGGGAAATTTTAAATAACCGGTCAGAACTCCAACAGTTAAGTTCCATGAAATTCTAGTAGTTTCGGTTTGAAGGAGCTGATATTTATATAAAATTTAGCAGACAAGCAAGCTATTTCAGTTCAGGAGAGTCTATGACCAGCATAATCCTAGAAATACACCAATAAATCCACAGTAATCAAGTACAGAATACAAATTTAAGGTAATGGTTGCTGAGGTAATAGCACATAAAGGAATTCAGAAAAAGGGAAGCAAAACTGGTCATGACCTATGAAAAAATAATTTACAAGGGATAAATTAAAGAGCTAAAATTACAGAAACTGCCTACAGAATGAGTGAGAGAGTTAAAGCAGGAATATTGAAATAAAGGTGTAATTATTTAGAAGGGAGTGTGACTAACTGAGGAGACCATAGTAGTCAGGACTGATGTGGTAAATTCAACAGGACAGTGAAATGCAGTATCTTCCAGCCATGTGGGGTATGTGACCAAGGCATATTTTCTGACCATATATGACTGAAATGTTTTTGTTGAGCATATTTAACAGCCCACAAAACAATTACAGTATAATTCAGAGTACTGGAGCATACATTGAAAAAGGGATACACAAAATCCACATATTCAGTTTCTCACATAAACTATATCCCCCTTTGCACACCTACTGTTATGGGCAGCAGTCACTTTCTTGATGCTTTCTGGTTTGCTGATGTCTGAATCATGGAGCAAAGATGGGACTAAATACTCTTTTGATACTTTCTAGAGGGTCCCAACAGGGTTATGCATAAATTAGCACTTAAACTTTATACTCCAACCTCCCTCCATATATCAAAGAATTACATAAGACATAAGTTGAGACAAAGAAAGAACTTCTGGACAGGATCTTCTATTCATGTCATTGGTGATCTTCAGAAATCAGTCCTGGTCTAACCTATGCATTTCTAAGGAATAAAAATATATTACCTAAAGTAGCCAGTAGCTGAAAGACTCACACTCTGTTCAAAAGCTTCTTTAATCTGTAAAATATAGCAGTGTTTGTGGTAAACCAAGGAAGGAGTCAGGAAAGAACAGAGCATACATATATTTCCTTAATTTACATATATTTACTTATTTACATATATTTGTTTAAAACCAAACTGTAACAAATTGTAAAGAAAGGAAGACCAGCTGAGTTAAGCATGTTTAGCTGCACATGGTGCTTAATACTGTAGAAATAAACCCCCTTTTCAACGAGCAATCCTATAATTCTATTCCAGCTTCAAGTTGGCACTAGACAGAGGGCCATTTCTATAAACAGCTTTAGCACTACTTCTGTACTACTCTACTGCAAATGTAATTAATATTATAACTAATTACATATTAGAGCAATGGAAGCAAGGATTCCTGCTACCTTTTTTCCAGTTCTGTAATATAGTGCATATGGGAGACAGATGGAAGGAAGATGTTGAGAAGACTTCTCTTTATTAATTTGGTAAAAATAAAGAACAGTCATGCAGGAAAACTGACACTGTACACATACCCTGACAGTCTTTTGGCAACAGCTTTTCTGATGGTAAGCTGGGCTGGGTTATGTTATTGCACAAGCTGATATTTTCTGCATATTAAAAACTTCTGTGCCTCCAAACGTGACTTTGCAGATAGCTTCCCCTCCTTTCCAACTAGATATGATCTGGGGATTATTTCCCACATATCTAAACCAAGCACCTACATTCCATCTTTCTGTGAAATAACCCATTTCTGCAGTTTTTAACTTCAGGACTATTAGACTGAGCAGACTGATAGACAATACATATAGCACAGTTTCTGCAAGCACACAAACACATTTAGTAGAATTCACATCTTACCCAATCATTCCAGGTCCCTTTTGGGTTCTTGTTGATGATAGGCTGCAGGCGTTTCATAAGAGTTTGGCAAGCATCCTGGTGAGAAGTCAGGAGAATATAACACAAAATTAACACATTACTTTTGGTACTATTCAAGATCCGTTCTAGTTAGTACTTAATTATATATACTTTACTGTCATATTGGTTTGGAAAAATATGGTAGGCAGTCTCATTTTAACTGCATAGGCACAAACCTCATAAAGGGTTAAGTTACAAGGGCTGGAATCTGCATGAATCAGTAGATTTAGAACAGGAAGAAGATACAAGATTTGTATGGGACTAGTTAGTTTGTTAGATGAAACAAGGATTTAGTCAAACATAAGCCTTTTGGGGAAAGCTTAGATCATATTCTGAAAATTCATAAGCACCACTACTGAGAAACTGTCAACAAGTCATGTTTTTTCTTGGCAATCTCCTGTGGTATTCTCAAACCTGATTTCTGTGGGATCATTAATGCTTAAAGTTTGTCAGGCATTAAATACCACAAGGGATAGGGTGTTTTGTTAAACTAAATACTACTCTTTACCTTCACAGCCATGCCATTGACATCTGTCCCTGCAGATCCTGCTGAGGCACATGCATTAGGAACAGTTGTTGTGCTCGTTTCACAGAAGTGAACACATGACATGGGAATGTTCAACTCTCGACTAGCAATCTGTTTCAGGAAAACCACCATATTATTCTCTGTTTTACAAATATTCTAAACACTCCAACAGTTCCCTGGTACTTGCTAGAAGTCAGCGATACCATGTAACATAAAATTTTAGCAAGTTCTCTTCCAACCTCCAGCTGAAATCATTCTCCCTCATTTGTCAGTTCAAAGAAATAGAAGCGCAATGTTTTAGCTGTACTCAAACTCTGGAGTCAAACATTTGGTTCCTAATTTTGCTGCCCATAACCTGTATGATTTAAGGAAAATTATACAGGCCCAGATCCCAAGCTTTCATTGACTTGATAAGTATCTTTACAGATCTGTCTCTCAATTAGGCATTAAACAAATATGATAATAATAATATCCACTGGATTGTATACTAATCTGAATACTGACTGTCTTTTTTTACCATGGGTTTTATAAGATCAGCTCCAAAACCATCTTGTTTCTAATAAGCTTCTTCACAAACCATTGGAAGAATAAAAACCAAACAGTCTGTTTTTTCTTCCTTCTGTCTTTATGACTCTTAATGAAGGCATCTTTGCTTTCTAACTCTATTAATGCAAAGAAGCAGTGGCTATGCTGATAAAGAAGCTGTCCTACTGGTACCCTAATGAACCAAGAAGAAAACTTTCACACTGTTTATCTGCATGATAGGTAAAGCACAAGGTAATATTTGTTTGAATCATTTGTTACCTGGATCATTTTTGTATGAATACCCTGCCCCATTTCAATTCCACCATGTGTCAGAAGCACAGATCCATCAGTATAAATATGAACCAGAGCAGCAGCCTAAAAAAGGAGAACAAAATCAAGATCAGACTAGTGAGAAATATGTTGTCTATGGTGATTAATTGATGAATCAAAAAAGACAGACACAGTTTTGAAGTGTATTTCAATTTATCTGTTTAATGCTTTTGAATAGAAGGCAAAATTTGGAATGCTAGTCCCTGCTCTTTGTCTACAATGAGCTTTAAAAAAAGGTTTTTTTCTGTTGCTAGATTCTAAATAAAATCTACACCTGGCACCAGTATCTAAATGGTTCCAAAATAAGCTGGAGGACCTCCCTCACTAGTGGCTGTACATGCAAATTGCTTCAAGTTCCATTTTCTCTCCCATTGATGTCTGAGAGCCTTTGGACACAGGTTTTATAACTGCATGGGTTGGGCAGGCTGTCAGCATTACATAGAGCAGAAAGGTTCTGAATGATATTTTCCTCCTGGACTCAATCGTAAGTAGCACTGTAGACTACAAAGACCCTGTGACTTTAGTCTTGAACAGAGACAGACACTTTGATACGATACAAGCCAATTCATCTTCAATTGATAAAATGCTGTATATTCCAGAAGCACTAGACATCTGTGTTAAACAAAATACAAAGACCAAAAATATTACTGTCCTCCTTTTCTTCCTTAAACTTAGTCTTTGATGACATCAAAGGGTTTAAGTCTTTAAGAACAGCATCCCATAGTACCCCCTTGATTAGAAAGAGTAAGCTCAGAGCTATTTCTAGAATGGATAACTTATCCAATGAACACTTTGCCATCAGTCTTCAAAAATTTTTCATAAAAGTGTTCAACTCATCTATACCAATACCACATCACAAGAGATGGGGCTAGCCTTTAAGCAGGCAGGGTCCAAGCTGCCTGGGTTCTGAAAACCAAACAACTTTGATCTCAACTTGAAGAGAACTAGAAGCCAGCATAGCCTTCAGGGAACAGCCATTAAGAGAATGATAGTTTTGCAGAAACTGAAAAATAACACATTTCGTATCCTAAGGTAGAATGACTGTAATCTTCTACAGATAAAAAGCTTAGCTCACTTATTCTTTAAAGAAACTAACCTGAGAAAGATAACGTGTGCCTAGTCCAAATGGAAACTTCATTGGTACAATGGCAATCCCTTTTTTCTTCCAGTAATTTTGTTTGTTAAATTCATTGACAGCTGCTTTCCTATCGTAGTATGCAGATTTCTCCATACATTCATTCCAACACCGTATTAAGTTTTGTGGATCAAGCTTTTGCTTGAAGTGTGTCTGCTCATTCTCCTTATACATATTTATTTCCCTAATCTGAAATAATAAAATTAACAGCTATCACACAATTCTGTTAAAAGCAGACTGACCATTTGGTGAGGACTACTAGACAAGAAGAAGATTACCTTATGTTTTTTAAACAATTACCAGTTTGGTTCAGTTTGTAAGAGCATGCTATTCATTCAATAACCAGACATTGATTAAAAACACCATACGAATTTTAGCACAAATTATGTTCGACTTAGAAAAGATTTGTTCAAAGAGTTGAGCTAATCTAAAGGGGTTTAACTTTCCAACTGCATAGACTTAATTTCAGGAAAGAAGATCCCTTCATTTCATCACCTTTTCTGGTGAGAAACCGGTTTTATCTGCAACTCCTGTTATCCAAGTTTCTGTCACCAGTGCTGACTGGGGAAAGCCAAAACCACGGAACGCTGTGTTTGATGGCAAGTTTGTTTTGCAAGCATAAGCCCAGCATCTCAAGTTGGGAATCTTGTATGCATTGTCCATTTTTAATAAGGATACCTCTGCTACCTGAGTAGGGGACAAAAAGGTGTATTTAAGTGTCAGAACAGTGCTTCTTTGAAAATCACACTTAAATCTTCCTCGTCTCATATAAAGACCTTAATTTGAGACAAATCTCCTAGGTGTAGATTTTCCAACAACCCACAGACCCTACATCAAAAGACTATATGATTAACAGTACATGTGCAAAGGAATTTGGCCTTCCTAATTTCCAGCTAATGATTCCTCCATGTTACAAGATTTGTCAGTTTATAAAATCCTTACCAGGACAGATTCATCAGGCGTGCATCCTCCATTAATGTAATATTTGACATCCACAGCTCTGATCCTACCATCATTCATGAAGCCAACCTAGAAGCAAAACCAACCTATTTAGATTTTGGCATTCATTATTTTTTTCAGTGCTTGTATATTTTGAAAATTAATGTAACCCACACAGTTAGGGCAATACTGCACTATTAATTTCTGGGCAGTGTTCACTGAAACTATAGAAGGGCAAGAGAGAAAGAATGTTCTGTTGGCTTTCCCACTTGGCATCTGTGATCTGTATAGGTACAGCATGTAACAAGCAACATCAGCCCATTGGGAAAGGAAGTGGGGAAGCCCAGTGGCTTCCTGTGTATTGCCGGAGATGGCTGATAAGCGTGTCATCTAGGAATGTTCACTGTAGACAAAGTCAAATCCCACTCTGACTGTAAGAATAGTGTCTGGCAGATGGAGTATGACATTTTTTTTTCTAAATGAATAAATGCTATCTTTACCTCACATCTCTTTTTTTTACCTGTTGCCACTAATAGTTCCTGAATGCTCAACATGAGATACAGCTCATTTTCAACTTAAGGGAAGCATCTTATAAAACCTCTCTTACTTTACCTATGTAGAAATGGAAAGGAAGGCAGAAATTGTCCTATTAAATAGTTATGACTGATGACAGTGCATGAGCAGGGAACAGATTAATTTCCTCTATAGGGTGACTTTTCCTGTATCACATCGTTTCTGTGAAAAACTAGCTGCTCTTTTGTGTGAACCTAACTATATGGATGGTTTAAAGAAGTTTGAGCTAGTTGGGCCTTCCATTCCCAGAAAGAAAGATAGGAAGAGCTATAAAAGGAAAAGGACACAAAGGGACTAGAAAAAAGAGGCAGAAGCAGAGAAAGGACTGTGCAGCAACTTTATCTCTTGGTTTCCTGGCTAGTAGTTTTGCTTTAAAATTGAATTGATAATACTCATTTTCATTAATAGAACAAATATTAACCAGTAACACTGAAATACTTATTCACAGAATATGGGCAGCTATTTTTTCACTGAATTCTTGCAGCACTCACTTTATATTTACCAATAAAAGGGTGTCGGCCACCAGTGATTAACATATCATCCCCTCGGCTCAGAATAAGACGGACAGCTCTGCTGGTTCTAAATCAACGAAAAAAAAAATTCAGTCAAAATAAGAGATGTTATTAACAAGATGGCTATTCATCATCTATCCAGATCTAGTCATGCATATAAATACACATTTAGATTAAACTTAACTTTAATAAGCTTAAATATATGCTTAAAGCTATGTCCAGAGTTCATTTTTTTTTCAGTTACAATTGTGTCAGAATTTTCATTTTATCTCTTGAAAGCCAACAAGATAATTCAGTGCAAACTTTTGAAGAAATTGTTATTTCAATGTTAAAGACTGAACTGTGTTAGGTGAGCTAACAACAGTTAGCATTCAACCTTAACCAAGAAATAGTAACCTCTTAGCTGTTCAGGATCATACTGAAATAGGGTGCCTTGGAATAAAAGTGAAACATGGATTATAATAAAAATATGAAAATTAGTCTACAAATGCCTATACCATTTAAAATAGTTACTTTTGAAAAAAAGGACATAAGATGTAAAATAAAGTCCTAACAATAAAAAAGATTGTTTAAAGTATAAAAAAGGATTTTTAGCATGGCCTGGTTAATCCAAAACACAGATAACATGGCCAAAAATAATCATGAGCCGTTTGTACAACAGTGCCAGCAATAACAAGAGAAATGAATTGAGCTAACTACTCAGATTACAAAATCATTTTGGCTACGACAGGACGTAGCCTGATGTGCATTCTGAAGCAAATCAGTTATGCTTATAAAAGAGATTGCTATATTGTAATTTGGCAATAAAAATTTGGCAATATTGTCTTGCCAAATTTGGCAGGTGGGGGATGTAGCTTTATGTGTTAAGGTCCCTAAAATTATTCCAGTAGTATTATCCAAAACATAATACCTAACAGATTTAAGCTAATTTTGTCTGAAAGATGTTGGGAACAGAACTAGAACTACTTGTTCTTAAAAGCAGTTCCACTCTAGAACTCTTCTGTCTGCATCCTGCTGTGCCAGTGAAGTTCACATCTGGATGGTTAATCTCATGTTTTGAATGCACATGCAAAGCCTCAGTAGTTAGGGGTCAGTTCTTTTGAAATGCTCAATCATATCAAGAATATTTCTAGCTTATACTAATGCCAATTTCTTCAAGTTCCATTAATTTAGTTGATGCTAGAGCTGCTTAGCATAAGCAGTCTAACAAAACAAAACAAAGAAATGCAGTCTTAACAAAATGTGAATAGTCAGGATTTTACAGCTTTTTGGCTAGCAACTTTGGGAAAGGAAAAAGCATTTTAGCCAAAATGCAAAATCTGTTCATTCCATTTTCTCTTCATATCCCAATATACACATACGGCACTTACTTGTTTGCTGCCACTGCAGCAACTGATGCCAGTAAGCCAGCTTTTAGGAGTTTTCCACCAAAAGCTCCACCAACTCGTTTAACATGGCACATGATCCTGTTGGCTGGAACGCCTAAACTTGCAGCTACCATTTCCTGTAAAACCAGTTTTAATCTTTTATGCCAACTCAAACAAAGCTTACACGTCATGTTCTGAAATAAAAATGTTTGCTAGAAAAGGGTTCCATAGATGTAAGTAGGTTTTTTCTTTTTTATTCATTTGGGTTTTTAAAAATCAGATTAAAACAGTTTTTCCTTGACCCTAGGTTAAAAAGCAAGAAAAACATAACAACAAACACTCAGCAGTGTTCACATTTAAAATCTCTACCATGGGGACTGAAAATGGCCTTGGACAGGAATGACGAATAATACCCTTGGATTTCATTATCTAAACAGCAAGAAGTTTCAGCTATAAGAAAAGGGGATTAGAATACAGTTTTTATTATTTCTATTACTAAGATCATAAATTTGATTTTAATTTTTAATTAAAATAAAATTATTTTTTAAAGTAATCTAAAGTCTTGCTAGAGTCAGGAATATTCTTGCTTCAAATCATTTTCTGAAACACAAAATTCTTCATGATTCTTGGTTATTCGCAATACAATACTAATGGAAATGATAAAAGGAGCTGAACTGGGCTTTGAACACAAAATGTTAGTGTCGAGTCTGAAATATTATCAGTTTCATGCACTCTAGCTATTGCTATGTAGACCATACATTATGTCAGTGTTCGCTCTATCATTTACCATTATGAAAATGATCAGAGGGCTGGAGCACCTCTCCTATGAAGAAAGGCTGAGAGAGTTGGAGTTGTTCAGCCTGGAGAAGAGAAGGCTCCAGGGAGATCTTATTGTAGCCTTTCAATGTATAAAGAGGGCTTTAGTGTTCCAGGTCAGGTTGGACAGGGCTTTGAGAAACTTGATCTAGTGACAGATAACCCTGCTCACTGCAGAGGGGTTGCATTAGATGATCTTTAAAGGTTCATTCAAACCCAAACCATTCTATGATTATGATTTTGGCATGGAGCAGCAGTCTCACCTGTATCTATTAGAACTGATCAAACCCTTAGCAGACTCTGACTCTGCAGGGTGCTGATTGCTTCTCACCTCAATTAAAAGATAATATGGATAGAGGAGCCTCAGCACTCCACGGGGAGTTTTTCATGCCTACAATAGTGGGACATGAGGTACTTTGTTCAAAGGGAAATAAGAGACTTTTACTTCTTACTTATCCTCGTGGTGTAGTGGTCAGTGTTTATCAGGATACAGTGGTACTACAAAGCAGCTGTTGTTGGATGATTGTGATGTGCAACCTCATGTTCTTAGTGCTTCTAAACTGTTAAGATGGATTTGTAAACCAAACTTAAAAAGCTCTATTGTCACAGGCTTGATCACTTTCTCTGAGAATGCTCTGTAATACCTGAATAAATGCTGGATGCTGTGTTGACACATACACATCCATTTCTTTATCCTCTCCTTTTGGAACAGCAAGCACACTCTGAGTCTCCATGTAAAAGTGTTCCTGTCCTCCAATGTGAATCTCCCCTGATCCAAAGAGAAAAATACAAGTGTTAATGAGGGAAAAGGACAGAAGAAATGAACCAGGAAAGAACTAACTACCCATCATTATCTTAATTTTTGTAATTAGTGTAAAATCTTATGATGCTTCTTGTATGAAGAAGCAACACCTAAAATAAAAACACAGGTGAAACTCCTTGCAGGATTAAATTGGTCTTGTTCCAGTGGCATCTAAAGAACTTGATTAATAGTGGAACAATACTGCCTACAAGTATCGAAAATATTAAATACAACATAAATATATTAAATAAAGCATGGACATAATTGACGAGGTCAAGAAGGCCACCAAGATGGGTAGGGTACTGGGCCACAGGATGTATCAGAAGAGGCTGAGAGTACTGCACTTATTCATTCATAAGAAGAAAAGGGTTAAAGGGAGATCTTATTGCTGTCTACAACTACCTAATGGGAGGGTGCAGAGAAGAGTGAGCCAGACTGTTCTCAGAGATGCACAGTGGAAGGATAAGAGGCAATGAACACAAGAAATTCCAGCTTGATATAAGAAAAAAAAAAATTCACCATTAAAGTGGTTAAACATTCAAAACCTGACTGGACATGGCCCTTAGTAACCTGCTCTAACTGCACGTGCTTTAAACAGGAGGGTGGACTAGGTGACTTCCTTCCAACCTAATTATTCTGTGATTCCATTTCAAGGACAGAGGATGCAGAAAGTTTGAATGTAGTAGCAGGACCATAAGACCACTAGGTATAATCACACTTTCTTCCAGGTGACCAAAAGCTTTCTTAGGCCTAATGTCTATATGGAAAAAAGGTAGAACTGGCACTTGAAGAACAGACAGACAAATTCAGATACTGACAACAACTTCTCACCAAATGTATTCTGCAGTTTACCTTCAATTATATTATTAACAGTTTCAAATGCCTGATCAACATTTCCTTGTTCTAATTTTCTTTTTGGTTCAAAGAACGAGTTGTGCTTTATAGCTTCCTGCAGTTGAGAAAAGGAAAAAAGAGTTTTTAAGTATTTTAAAGGTTCTCAGCTTGTTGTGGCATTTTACTCTCAGGAGAAACATCATTCTTTTCAGAGATTTGAAGCACCAGCTATCAAAGTCAATGAACAACTGTATTTCATCACTTTACTGTCATTGTTGATAACTTGTGTATTTAGTTCCAGCAATTCTTTCCTGTGTACCTTGTGTTACTGATGATAGCAGTTTCTGAAGCAAATGCATTCAGTTTATTTAAGCTGTTCTTCCCTCTCGTACATCTAGCAAGTGACCAGGAGAGCACAGAATAAGAATGCAACCGCATCATCCAAAGGATGATGACATTAAGAGGGGAAGAAATGACAAGGACTAAGTAAAAGTAGAAACAATTTATTAAGTATGATTTGTTTTATTTCTAATCAGACTTCATTGGAATTTCTTTTGTATGAATTATTAGTAAAATTTGTCAGTCTTTTTTTTTAAAAGAGTTTACTTCTATTTTTATATGAGAAAGACTGTTCTGTTACACCCCATACATATTATGGAAACAAGCTGTAAAGTGACTACAAGAACTAATGCTGGTTGCCTGCAAATGTGTCCTTAGCTCCTTACTTCCACTCATTATCCAGCATAAGTCCATTTCCCCTGTGACTCCCACATTACATTTTTAAAATGTTCTATATCCCTGACATCTTACCCCTCAAAATCCCCCAACACTTCCTACATTTCCAGCCTAACTTTGTTGGCTTGCTAGCCTGACAACAGATATAAAATGCTACAGATAATCAGGCACTGATCGTTCAGCCAGTGTACACACATTGATTGACCAACTGGTACCTACCAAAGAATTACAAACAACCAGCGTGTTCACTGCCTTTCCCTATCTGGGAACATTAAAAGGGTTCTCCTTTTTTACTCTTATGTTTATTATTATGACACTCGTGGGACCTTGATACCTTTGAGACTGTCTATCGCAAATGGTCAAAATTATCCAAAGGTTGAAAAGTTATTTATAGGGAGACTGACAGACTGGTCAATTGGATGTTTATATTCACCTTGGTTCTTTAGAAAATCAAGTGTAAGTAGCATGTGAAGAGTGTGAACTGCTTCTTCCATTAATTATATTGATAAAACAATAAAAAGCAAGAGAAAATAAATTATTAGAACCTCAATTGTTAAGATTACTGGTTCCAGAACTTCATACTCTATCTTCACTTTTGCAGCTGCTTTTTTGGCATGAACATCTGAATCCGCAACCACAGCACAGACAATCTGACCCACACAAATCACCTGTAAAATACACATCACTTAACAGAATAGTGGATTCAAATTATTCCCATATGTGCTGCTGATATTCTTCTTTTGTGTAACCACTATTCATATTTCCTTTTTAGAATTTTGATCTTTGTATTTTTTAGATCATCCATGAAGCTAACAAATTATTAGAAATATCAGTACAACTGGGGAATCAAGGAAAATACAGTATTAAAAATGGATAAGTGAATTGGGAGCCTAACTTTCAATTAAATATACTCTTCCAACAACTCAGATGGTTTTGTGAGTTTAATCTGTATTTTTTTGATGTATATCTTTTTATCTAGGCAGGATATAATGCACATCAGCTATTTTGAATTTGAAAAGGGAGTGGGAAAAAATTTAACAATTTACCTTGTTACATGCCTAAAGTGACTCCCTGATGTACATGCAATAGAGAAATATAAGTAAAATTTAATTATAAAAATATGAAGAAAAACAGTAAAAATTAAGAAAATCAGTTTATAAAATATTGTAGTTATACCTTGTTTCTTGCAAATATAATCTCTGGCTCATCGGAGTTGTAAAACTCATTTGTAGCTGGTACATCATGAGCTGTTATGATATCGAACACACCAGGTCCTTTTAGAGCCTCTGAGGTATCTATAGATCTGATTGGGATATGGGAAGAGAGAAGTGTAATTAATTACTTTTACGAAGTGCTGCACAAAGGAAGAGAACATAATACAGAGGTATGTTTCTTGCACTGCCAGGATCTGTTCATAGGTTCAGACATGCCTTTTCCTTCTATCTCTGACATGCAAAGAAGTGCAGGACAAAGGCAATTTAAAACTCTACTAACCTGCTTCATTTCTAGGAAATACTCTAGATGCAACAGGGAAATCATGGGGCCATTACTGCAGGAATGGCATTGATTTCATAAAAATCACTGCACAATTATGATGCTGCAATTGCAACTTTCTAAGATCTCACAGCCTACACAGATATCAAACTGATGCAAATAAGCATCTACAAACAGAGAGTTCATACAGATAATTATAATAGAAATGGCAAGACCAGTATAAATGGAGAATGAATGGGAATGTATGGGTGTAGAAGGATCAGAAAGAACAGCAGAAGGTCTACAAGAATGGTATGTTTTGATAGCACCAAGTTTAGCAGGTCATCAAGATCCCAGCACATCTACAGGCATCTGCTCTGGACATACAGATCAGAAAAAAAAGGAGAGTGAATAAATCCTCCTGACTCAGAGAGATGAGGGTGGTGTCAGCTCCCTGATGGTACCAAAAAAGAGCACATCTAAACCCAGCATACTATCACTAACCTAATAATAAGCCAGGAAATAGGACAAGGTCTCTATAGCTAGTAGCCCCAGTCCTCCCCCTCACCAGACCACCTGGGTAAATGTCTTGGTGCCTGAATGCTGGCAGACAGCTCAGTTATGTGCATTTTGGTGCCTGAATGTTGAACTGTTAGAATAGGTGTATTGTGGCAGTATAAAAACAAAAGTGAAAACAGTTTTCTTTCAAAATAAAAACCTCTTCCCATCTTTCTCTCCTGTAAGGCCTCATATGAGTTTTGCTACCTTGTTGCTGCCATGCTATAACACTATTTCCTACATTTTGAGCATTTTCTTTTTTCATAATAGAGTTGAGAATTCAAGCCTATGTTGGTAATGCTGAGTTTTGGTGTCTGCTTGCACTGCACAGCTCAGCACTTTGTGGAGATACCTAGGCTAGCTCCAGGCTGGCTCATGGACCAGAAACAGTTCAGTTTCATTAGTACAGTAATATGGAGTGAGACACTTAAACCTAAACAGAGCCTTCTACTAGAGCAACAATATTGTTTTCAGCACCTAAGCCAGTGTTGGTACCAGGTGTGCTGTTCTGTATACATAGAACTCATCAGTCTGCTCCAGAAATCTCAGACAGCAATTCATAACAACACTTTCTTCAGATACACTCTGAACACTTACACAATCTTAGCATGAGCTCTGGAACTAGTGACGACAGCCAGGAAGAGCTCCCCATCCACAGAAGGAAGGTCATCAATGTAAACTGCTTCACCAGTGGCATGCATAATTCCAGACTGGTGCATAATAGGCAGTCCCACAGGATCCTGGGGAGACTGACTTGGCTTTATGTCCTGTACAGTCAAAAATACACCCCCCACTCCCAAACAGTTAAAAAATAATAGTAATGTTATGGTTATAGCAATCAGAAAATCAGATGAAGAACAACTGTTCATATTATCACCTTCTGGTTCAATATTGAAAACAGCTGTGGATGCTGGACCTGACTGCTGCTCCTGGGCATTTCTTTGATTTCTTCTCTTAATGAGCCTTCTGAGAGCCTCGCACAGGTTCGTCTACTTGGATTTTTTTTTTCCTTGTTTACATCAAAGTGATACAAACAGCACTTCTTTTAAGAAGGACAGTTTCCTCCCTTACTAATTGGTGTAATGAGGCTCTGATATTTTCTGAATTATCCTCACAAGATTCTGCTCTGTATTTTATCAGTGTCTGGTGTTGTATTTTGAGCTATTTGCAGTGATTCCTAGGATTTGTCTTCCTTGCTGAAATATTGCAACTGATAGGTGTAAAACAGTAAGAAAATGTTTTTTAAATATTTTCTTCTCAATTTTATTTCCTTGCACTTGTGTATGAATTTAGTGCCTTATTAACCTTATTTTACTAAGTCTTTACTGAAAGTTAATTCAGTACTGCCAATTAATTCTGCCACACCAACTAACTGTTGACAACTTCTGGAACAATTTTCCAGTTTCTGGGTCAGTGTTCACACTAACTTTTTCCTTTTCTATATTTAGAACTAGTTAATTGCCCACAAAATCTTTTTTCTTCCATAGCTTCCAGCGCAAAAGTATTCTGGCTACACATTTCTACCTCTTGCACTTTCTGGCACACTTTCTGCTACTAGCCCAAGACCAAGAACAGACATTTTTCACTTAACTGCCTAAAGTTCCTCAAATGGCTGTCAGTCAAACTTTCCCAACTTTTCCACTAACAGAATGGCCAGGCATTTACTTTAAAGGATATGTATTCTTTTCCCCCCCTTAATTTTAAAAGCTTGATAATGTTCAGATGAAGAACTCCAGACAAAAGATAGGAACTTGCAAAAGTTAGATAGAAATTCAAAGTGAAAAAACAGGTTTTCTAGGTTTCTAAATAAATTCTGTTGCTCAGAGCCAACTGATCTGACTAACAAATTGTTTCCATTTGTATTGTTTAGTCACTTTCTTGCAGCTGGGGAATAAACTGCTGAAAGTCATAAAGAACTAGTTCCTTTGATCCTGGCCCCTTTTACGTATCTGTAGTGTCTTTTTTTTTTTGGCGATAACTCTGAAGGAAGCTGAAGATAATGACTTGAACAAATTTAAACAATTTAAAGCTAAAATGTTATTCTAAAGACTATCTGAAAATTAAAATATATGTTTACCTAGATTTCATTTGAATTTTCTTTAGGTTTTAAAAAACTTTAATTTTTTACTTGTGTATCAAGGGTATAAAAATATCAAAAATCCTTGCAGGAGATCCCACCATGATGTAGTCACAAGTGTGATCTCAGAAAACCCTAAAGGTGTTCTTTGCTGCCCTCTGTTGCTGACTTCTCCTTGAATAGTCTCGTTGATTTCATAAAATAGCCATCACAAACTCCATCTTGATTCCTAAATCACAGAATGGTCTGGGTTGGAAGGGACCTTAAAGATCATCTAGTTCCAACCCCCCTGCCATCAGCAGGGACACCTTCCACTAGATCAGGTTGCTCAAAGCCTCATCCAACCTGGCCTTGAACACTTCCAGGGAGGGGGCACCAACAACTTCCTTGGGCAACCTGTTCCAGTGTCTGACCACCCTCACAGTGAAGAATTTCTTCCTAATATCTAATCTAAACCTACCCTTTTCCAGTTTAAAGCCATTAAATCTACACTAAGACCTAAAAGCGCTCTGAGATCTTAAGAAAAAGTGTATCTTGAGACAAGAATACTACAGTGATAGCTATAGACTTGGGCTTTTCAATCTTTTTTATTTTCTTCTAATTTTTCCAATTGAGTTGCACACTGCAATATAGCAATTTTAAGCAGTCTGACAATGGAGTTTATTCAGCATATTTATCTTTTGAGAACTGTTTAGAAGTGAGTACACATGTATGAATCTATTTTTACAGAAAAAGTTTTTCTAATTGAGATACAGTTAAAATCAACCACTAAGAGCCTGTTACCTTCAATCCTTTGGAAAACTGGTGCCTGAGCTTTGCAATAAGGATCATGCTTAAACTGTTACTTTTTACCAAGTCTTATAAAGCACAGAACTATCTCAGAATCAAATCACTTGCCTGGTATATTTGGATACTCCGAGGCATTTTGGTATGGAAATCTTGTAGGACACTCCTATATTCCATAGGTATACCAGGACAGTGGCAAGGATTCTGAAAAGGAAGTTAAATACTACCAAAACTCACATTTGAACATTCCAGCTAAAAAAGCTAACAACCAAAGTCACCAAATACAAACTTTATACAGGAAATTCCTTCAAGACTCTCAGAAGCTAGAAAAGCTCTAAAATAACAATTTTAAAACAATGCAGAGTTTGAGATTTCACTAAATAATATTTAAAAATATATTGGATTCAACAAATACGCTTATTTTAAAGTAAGGACCATAAAGCAGGGATAGTCAGAACAGCTGATTATCAAATCTGACACAGAATCACTCCTGGTCATAGTAAATTGCCTAGCAATGGTAATTCAGAGGAACGAGCTCAAGATAACTCAGAAGAAAAAGGCAAAAAGGGTATTTTTCCTCATAAGAAGAGATTTAACTAATAAGTAAATTACACCTAGAATGTATTAGGAAGTCAAATTTTAGAATCCTTCTCTCCCAGTCATACAAGAAGGAGAGTTGGTTTAACAAGGTTTTCCACAGTCTATTTCTATTCAATCAATTTATGTTTTGAACTACAGACAGATGGAGTAAGACCCCACATACGTTTTCTTTAGGCCTGGGACCTCAATACTGATATATTGTTGCATTAACATCGCTCATTTTTTTTTAAAGCCTAATGTCCAAGGTAAAGATATCTGAGCATCTAAAAGTTAAGTGGACATCCCTCCATCAACCTCTTTGGGAGTTAAGCACTTATTTTCTTCTATAGATCTGAACCCTAAAGACAATATTTAGCACATGGTACAAATTGCAAACATCAACAGATAGGAAAAATACTTTAATTTGTTTGCAAAAAAGCAGACATGGAGAACTAATTTACCATTGTCTTCAATGATTGCAATACTTCCAGGAAAAATCTGTAGAAGAAACTAACTATCAAAGTTTTCTTGTAGTCTACTTTTTCACCACTGGCTGAGCCTGGAAAAGCAATTTCTTTAAGAACGAGTCTGCAGGCTTCGTCCAACATTTGTTCATTCCAGTGTCTGTCAGGAAGAATAAAAGATACAGTCAGACCAGAACTCAAAAAAATAAATACAAACTGCAGTAATACATCTGTGCCATGGACCACAGCCATAATCCTGCTCATAATGAAGCCAAAATATTGATTTTAATGATGGCCTGCAATTTTGAAAACAGTGTAGGTCAATGTTACTCACAGAACTAAGGTCCCCTAAGTCAATGGAATTGAGTGTTATGACAGCCTTTTTAAAATAAATAAATTAATAAATAAAACCTTTTACAGTTTTAAAGCTGATTTAACAGTCTTACAGATTATCACTATTCTGCAGATACTGTCCTATATTTAAAGAAAAGTGGATTAACAATATTGATGCAAACTGTAGATGCTTTCAAGGGATCTGATTAGTGCTGGATAGTCGTTACATTTTCTGGAAAGGTTATCTCCTTGAAATATCTCAACACACAGAGCTAATTCTCCATAGTTACACAACCCTAGATATCAAAATATAAATCTGTTAGAATAAATTTAATCCTGTAAAGCAGCAGAGAATAATGAGTACTTCAACTAGTGAAACAGTTGCACATCAAATGGTAAAACAGTCCAGTGGAACTCTGTTTAGATAAATGGTTTTATACTGCTTGAATTATTTGCATTTTTTTCCTCCAGACTTTGGAAAGATGCTGCAAAGTGGGAGGGAATGTCAGGGATTAACTTCAGAGATTATTAGCATCTTGTAGATTAAGAGATATTGAAAATGTTAAAGCTTGACTTGTGCTCCTAAATTTATTGCGCACATCTGAAGTTCTCAAACTTTGTATATATTAGAGCCAAACTGAAGGACTCAAGAACACTGATACTAGGGGATCATCAGACCTGAGGATACAGCATTATTTATTAAAAGCTTGCATTCAGGTGCACAACTCACTATATTTACTTCATCTACCTATCTCACAGCTCATGTCTTTCTGTACACTTCCCACTGGAGTTGCACCCGTGAGCAGACTCAAAAATGCAACAATCCCGAAAAGTCATCATTAAGGTCTGACCAGATCATTCACATGAAATACATGGCATCAGCCAGGCAAGTGAAATCTTTCCGTACTTCATGCTCCAAGGAAGTACACCCAAGCTCTCAAAGTCTCTTTATTCAGAGATGTAGAGAAGGCAGAGAAATTGTACCTTCCAATGAGTGTCCAACAGGTTTGTTTTGCACAGACTGTGGTTGAGGCAGCACCTCCATAGAAAATGCTTAAATCCTTTATTATGTCTGTACCTTCTTCGAAAAGGACTCTCATCCCAGCATTGGTTATTGGGAGAGCATTTTCCCGTCTTGGTGCTTGTCGAAATGCAGAGACATACTCTCCCTGAACAAGATCAGACAGAAGTAGGTAACCTGCAGACATGTAAGTATCTAAAAGCAGAACTTGTTATTGCATTACATGAAGCAAAAGAATAAAATACTAACAAATTCAACTTCCTGAGCATTCAAGATCATACACTTCCTTCTCTTCATCTTTCAGTAGCTTTGCCATCTTTGATTTTGCTAGCAGCCCATACCCAATCCTCCATCATCTACACAGTTCAGATAACCTAGATTTTTTCATGGTAGATAGCTGGAAGAGAGGGATCTTGTGGAATGGCATTGCATTTATAACAAGACCAAAAGCTTAGAGGCTTTGAAGTATTACCAAACCTCAGAACTCAGATAATATGACCCATAATTCTCTTTTAACATCCCATATCTATTCTCTCAAATGCAATACCAGTTAAAGACTATTCAGTTCAGCAACATTCACAGAAGCACTATGCACATGTCCGTCCAATCCTATCTCATTTTAAGCAAAATCCTCAGGAGATGACAATACTTCACCCGCTTGATGCCAACCATATCACAAGTGAGCAGCCTGCTTTGGTGAGGACTATGGCAGTTGGTCCAAGACCGCTTTCTGTAGGGGGCCTAGACAATTGCTATTGCCCTCATCATTTTAGGGTAAACTTTTGTCTGAATATCACTCTTTATATACCACCAACTACCTGCTGAGTTGTGTTTTTTGGCTGAAACTGGGAGATAGTATGGTACTGACAGGATCCAATGTAAGGAATTCAAAAAGTGAGCAGTAATAGGCTTACTTTAAACATAGGGATTATGCCCCCTCCTGCTCTTTCTTTAATAGTCTTTAACTCTGCATAAAGCAAATCTAATCAAACTAGTAACTTACCTTCCTAGAATGGGGAATATGGACAGAGACTAAGATCTCCTCTGGTGTAATGCTATTGTTACCAACTCCATCTGCAAAAATATCACTCAAAGGAATCTGTCGCTTTCTTCCTAAAAAAATCCCAAGTACAGAAACTTCTGTACAACTGTGCAAATAACATACATCAATCATATTTTAATTGGCAAGAAATACTTTAATAAATAATAACTGCAGAGTTTACATAACAAATTATCAGTAGTATGCTCTATAAATACAAATGACTGCTCCATCTTCCATAGTATCATAACACCAGAGTCCTAAGAAAGTGCCCAGAGATCAATCCTCATTCTGTAATCCTCCCTTCTGCTATTACCATGATGTAGCACTCCTCATTCCTGTCAATCTGTTCCAAATCTCTGCAGCTGCTATCATCACTACCTTTCCTTCTAAAACATAAAGAATGAGTAAAAAGAAATGAATGGGAGAGAATTGCAAAAGTAAAAAAAATTTTGTTGTTGTTGTTCTGAGATTCTGAACACTTCTTAGGAGTCCAGAAGAGAATAAATGCTATTGCCTTTTCCTTTCTCTTTTTGGTAGATTATTCTAAAAGTGACTCTTTGTCATTCTATGATATATGTTATTAAAGACGGGATTTTCAAAAGGGAACAGGTCAAAATTCTGCACGGAACCTAAATCTGTAAGAGCCCTTTGAACAATTAAACTTCATCTATGGTACATTGGGTTTGCCAATATCACCACACAGCTAAGCTAGCAAGCCTTCTGGAAATGCAAAATTTTAAGGCATATAATTGATTCTACTAATTAAACAAGCCTCATTGGCTCAAGGAGTTTTGTTGGTAAGACTGCAACTGTACCAGTAACACAACTGTCAAGTAACATTTTCATTCTGCAAGAACACAGAGGCATAAACATTGCACAGATGGAAATCCACAGTGATTCACCGGTGTGGAATTAAACCACTTGTATTTGACAGATTAAGTTAAAGTGTATTTTTTATTAGTCTTCTGTGTCCTTTGTACTTTTCACATGCTAACTAAGAGCACGCATTTTAAAATAAATTATTTCTTACTACTAGCAATATTTATCTTCCAGTAGCCCTGATTTATCCCAAGACTTTCTGTAACCAGATAATCTTCTGTGCCCTTTTTAATATATGAACCTTTTTAAAAGGTTCATATATTAAAATACTCCTCTTACATTCAATGAAAATGATACTTCCAGACTGGCTGCTTTACAGGAAGACTTTTTTCTTCATGTTTTCATATTACGTATGAGGATGACACTGTAACCTGTTCATCCTAGAATACCATTTAGCATTAAAATGGCATTCCTCAAATATAACTAGTGTAACAGCAAAACTTTAGTAAAGGAATTTTATTTTGCTGAAGTGTGAATCAAAATAATAACTCTGTTAAGAAGGGCAGCACTGATATTTTTGCATTTTTGCCTTTGCAATTACATCCAGAATATACTTGGTTTACATACATAAAGATTATGGTTTAATCCCACCGTTGAGCCTGCCAGGATGTAGGAAGGCACATTTTCTCTTGCACTGTGATCCACTATAAATACTAAGAAATAATAGTGTTTCTGCAACCTTCTTTTCTAGAACAATCCACTTCTCCTATGTTTCACTGACTACTATTTGGTAAAGAAATACGTTAAAAACCTGTGAAAATGCCTAGAAGCCTCTCCCAGCAGTGAAGTTCTGCCAGGTTAACAGAAAGAGATAACAGTCAGTGATCCTATTCATCACTCAAATGAGTAGTCAGATCATTAGAATTGTTAAGAAGTAAATGTTTTTACTTTCATTTGTCAGAACAACATTCTCACAGATACTTTTCCTCTCAATGCCAAACGATGCAGGAAGAAGTACTGGAATTCACACAGCATAAGCTTTTGTGTATTTGTTCCAGGAAATCCTGGCTCAGAAGCAAGACCTTAAAGAATGTGTATTTCAGGGCATTGAGTGGTGTATTACATGGTCTGAAAAGGCAACATGCACCCTGTCTGAATCAAGAGCAAAAAAGTACATAAGCCATCTAGTAGGGAGAGCATGCAGTTCTGGGCCACCAGATAGCTCATGTCTAGCAATAATTTCATCAACTTTCCAATTGTAAGGTAATGCACAAGAAAAGGAGCAGGTAGAGGGGAGTATATATACTGTGATTGAAGGGAACTGAGGAAATGGGCATGGAAAAAGGTGCTGGACCAGTAGCTCCTTTATCAGAAGTAAGTACATGTGAGGAATGAGAAGCCAGAGTGCTTTTCAGGGTCAGAGGGTGATTTAAAACTGGGGCAAAGCATCAATTACAGAAAAAAAACTACCAGGAAGTTGGGGGAGTAGCATACAGCTACTCAGATTGTGAGGTGTTATGAGTGCTTATAGTAATTCACTGCCCACAGAAGTACATGTGATCTGGTTGGTCTAAATGCTTGCCCTTCACATGAGAATTTTTGACATGCTCGTTATTTGCAAATTGCTTTTCTTGCAGATGTGATCTTATATGAGAGTGGGAAAAGTGTTCCTTAAGAAATGCTCAGCTGTTGTTACTTCCCCTCTCCCCATACAATAGGATCCTGTACCTCTGGCACTACTATAGACAGGCTCTCTCCACTTACCTCTTGAAGCCAGATTGAGCATACAGTTGCCAGCTGCCAGAACAGGATTCAAGTCCGAGGTTGACTTTCTACTTATGATGTTTCCACCTAATGACTTGAAAAAAATAATTTATGTCAACCTTTCTCCATCACCTTCACATTTTCATGTTAAGTGACAGTATAATACGCAGACTATATATAAATTTATACATATTGAAAGCTCAAAGGTAATGGATTTATAGAAAAGTCACTGCTAAAAACAAAATTAAAAATGCAAGTTTTATGCGTGGTCAGGAACAATTTCACATTTGTTACAATTTGTTACAATTGTTATTGCAAGTAACACACAACATACAGCAACGTTTCTTATTTGTTCTCCACCCAGAGTTCTTAATTGCTGCAAGACAGCACGGAAAACCTTTGTCTTCTCTTCAGGGCACTCTGAGATTGCGTTTGCCAAGATGTCTTTCACTAGAGAGAGGCTGCAGGCAGCTCCCAGAGTTAATCCTGCAACCAAAAGATTATGAAAGTGTAATGTGTGCATTGCTTTATTGCCTGTGTTTTAAACTATGTTCAGACTGTAGAACTAGGGCTGCTCATGTGGAATACAGGCAGATGTAAGAAGAGGGGCCTTTGCATATTAAAGGCACTGTGACCCTTCAGTTCAGGAGACTGAGGGTACAATTTAATTAAATGATGAAATTGAGCTAATAGCTCACCACTTCTACTAAAAGGGAAACCACTTCTCTGCTTCCAGATGCTCATTCCGACTACTTCCCTTACACCAATTTTGATTGAGTAAATGTTTAGGTGATGTTTCACTCAAATGTGAGTCAGCTTCAAAATGCTTTCAACAAGTCCTTCCTATTTTTAAACATAATTTTCATCCAAATTTTATCTTTCTTTGCATAGGTACTTTCTAGTTATTCTCCTAAGGTACAGGTAGGTAGTATTTGCGAAAAAACTCAGTCTTAACACTGAATATGGTATTCTTTTTCCCACTAGAAAGACAACCTATAACTGTATGTATTTATTTGAATAGTTATAATTATTTTCTTTAAGATTATACTTTATAAAAATTTCAATATTATAAAATGGTAAACAGGGTCTTTCTATTCAAAATCTTTAATAGACTTCATTTATGTAATGTACAAATGTTTTGAATTAACACTGGAATTAAATAAAAAATATTAATCAAAAGATATACAAATGGCTTTTTATTAATAGAGTATAGCAAAACTAAATTTTGTGCATTTAAACCAAAAATTTAAACAAAACATGTTTTGCATTTTAATCCGATTAGAGAGGAAATACTATTTCTGGCTGGTAAACTAAACCACATGTCTCTTGTTTTAGAACTAGTATGTGTCACCTTCTCATAGCTAGATTTTATTTATAGATTAAAAGAAGCAGTAAACATTCTATCTGCTTCCCTTCAATTCCCAACCACTTTTCAGCTAAGAACAAATTAGTCATTGACTAGAACTGGATGACTGATCTGAAATGAAAAAGTTATTCTAAATGCAATGACAGAACTGTCGAATAGTCAACCACTTCAAAAAAAGCAGCTTCAGGCATATAGCAAGTAATTTTCATCAGATATAGGGTTCGATTTTCCTTAAAACTTTTCAGTAAACTTGCACACAGAAATTTATATTTAATTAATTTAGGCTATTATAGTAAGTTTAAATCTATTTCTAGTTGTTTCTTGCAATTTCAATAGAATTCATTTAAAAACTGACACCTAGTTTAACTGAAAAAATATCCATGCTTATCTTAAGTATATAAATCGAGGTATGACATTTTTAATCTACAATAATTAATGCTATCATGATTGAGAACAAGATTAGTTAATGCATATTAGCTATGCCAGTCTAATCACAGCCTTTTTTCTAATGTAGATAAACATTCAACACTGCTAACTCTCTCTGTGGTTCTGTATGGGTCTCTCTCTGCTATACAGCATAACATAGTACAGAGACCACAAAGCAAATATTGCATGACCTAGCACCAGAGCCAGTATTACTAGAATAATTAGCCTTGCACTGTTATGACTAATGCAGTTCAAGATAATATTGCTGGTCAGTACTGCACAGCGTCATGGAGACAAAACTGTATCACACACTGGGACAGTGGCCACAGCCACCCTGACCTGGAAAAGAACCAAGCATGTACCAAGTATGTTTAGGAATGAGTTGCACAGCACTTCACACCTCCAGCACTGTGGAATAGAGCAGCATCCCTTACTACAGACAGACCTCCTATGTCTGAACAAAGTAAAGACTACTGACCGTCATCCGTGCGTTTCACCACATTCAGATCTGGGATCCTTGCAGGAGCAATAACAATTGGATGGAACACGCCTCTAAATTTCATGTCAGGTCCTACCAGATAGGAATACACTTAGACCAAAGACATTTTCCATAATGACAACTCCAACATAGTGGAGAGTAAGCTTAAGGATGAAAATACAAAAAGAATTATAAACATAGCCCCACTTCTCCCATGAACGCTGGAACTATGCCAACAGGAGCCATTCTGATGATGTACACACCCACACTGGTGTTCCCAACCACAAGAGGTGCTTTGGGGTAGGCAGCTTTCAGATCCAGTAATTCATCCAAGCTTACAGGAGAAATCCACTTCATTTGCTCCCCATGAAAAAACAGAGTTCTTTTGGGTTGATTTTCAGCCATTCTCTAATGAGGAAATATGGCAGATTTAAAGATTTAGTTAGACAGGTGCAAGGTCTAACAGACATTAGACTGAAAGTCAAAAGAAGTTCTTAAACAATGTCAGTTCTGTTTCCTTCAAAACTGGACTTAAATGGGACTGTTATGCTGGCTCTTTGCACAGTGGTGAATTTCTAGGCTGCATGGGTGAAACATCTTCAATTAATTCCAAGAGGCTAACAAATAAGACTGATAATAAATAGCCCCCAAGCAAAAAATGCAGGAACAGATCCTGCAGTTGCTGAAATTATTAGAAAAGTTATTAAAAATTCTCAACTCCAGATGTAATGGGATTTCAGAGATATTCAGATGCAGCTGCTTGTCCAATATGACATCATTTTTGCACATCTGATTTAAAGCACTTCAAGAGACACATATGGGGATGTTTGGAACACCTCTCCCTGAAACAATCCACAGCTCCATGCTTCATTTTCCAGGAGAAAAGAATGACAGGGAATACAAGGTCTGTATCCAGCACCAACTCTGCTAGGAGTATTAGCATACTTAGCTTGCTCACCAATGACACTGGCAGCAGCATCCCTTTCTAGATTAAGAATGTATGTGGATGCCTCTGACTGTTCCAGCGCTGTTCACTAATCACTTGGAAGCAGCTTGTGAACTAGTGGTGGTACAAATACACAGTTAAGAGCCCCTGCCCCGCAGCTATCAGCCTTTCTCCATAAGCAGCCAGCTAGTTACAGAGAATTTGGCTTTGAATCTATAGATTGATGATAATGTAAAGCAAACAGCTTTCAGTTTTTCTAGAGTAAATACTGCTGTTAATAATTAAGGATGCCTGACACTTTCCATTCCAGTGTCTTTATTTCAGCTGCTTATATCTTTGTCGTACTTTAATCACCAAGGCTAAACACTCCCTGGTCTGTGTGGCTATCTGAGGTGGACATTTTGAACAGGAAAGACCAACAAAACTGTTAAGCCACAAAATGGGGAAAATGCATTGTTCTGCCAATGTTAAAAATTGTTTGCTATTCTGTTTGCTGAGAAGCATTTGTATCTTCAGGTGCTGCACTGAAAAGCCAGTTTATGTTACTTCTTTGTCTTCTCACCTAATACCTAACTCTGCAACTTCATTTTCCCAATATGATTTTTTTTTTGGTAGGTGAATATGCAATAAGATCACTGGGAGGGGGGGGAAAGGAATATAATTTTGGATTTATATTAAAATTTTATGACATTTCTTCTGATGAATCACTACTAAGCAGGAATTCAGAATGAGTTCAGAACTATGGACTATTAAGGAAAAGACAGAGCTAAAGAATAGCCTATAAGAAGAAAAAAATTACCATTAGTTCTGGAGGAAATATAAGCTCCTGGGTAGGATCTAAAGGCTGGAATTCATCTGTTGAAAATAGTCTGGTAGAAACCTTAAAAAGAAAGAAAACGAGCAAAGACCAAGAATTTTCTCTTATCAATAATTCCATTAAAAGAAAAAAAAAAAAGGTAAAACCAAAAACAAACCATGAGGGTCCTACTGAAGTCAGCAGAAAATCAGTAATTTCATTAGCATTTGGATTTGGTGCTAAATTACCATGCATCATTTGGAGTTGTGACAGAAGTGTTAATAACAGTTTCTCAAAGTAGATCACATATTATTGAAAGAAAATTGAGAACAAAGTCAAATATTCATCTGGATAAGAGGTTTCATATAAAATTACAATCATAACTCTGGTTTTTAAGAGTGTATCAGTTCTTCATACTCAAGGCAACAGTTAGATACCTAAGAGATCAGTGGTTACACCCAATTCATCACTGATCACTGATTTAAGACAGTTCCACATATGCCCTGATTTCTTGGACAATATGATGACTACTTTATGAGTAGAGCTGAGACTATTAATATTACTGAACTTGAAGAACTGCTCAAATCTCAGCTCTGGAGAGCCAAACTACCTCATACCAACTATCTGCCACATCATCACCTTTCTATAGAAATACATATTAGGAATGCTCAATTTTTAGAAATATCTCCAAATTTCTTGCAAGGAATAATAAAATATCTTACCTTACAAATAATATTACATAAGTTGAATAAGGTAGAGGATAAAATTGGCAAAGTATACTGCATTTAGTTTAATTACAAGAAAAAAAGCTATGCAATATTCTTTCTGTAAGTTTTATATCTAAATAGGACAGGTAAAATACTTAAAACCCTACCTTTTCTTCCTGGTCAAACAAATCATCCTCCTGATCCAAGCAACACTTTCCATTTGCTTTTGTTTGACAACAAACAGATTCCTAAAGTAGGAATATCCTATTAGTGAAATATTGCCCAGAATGATAATGAGTTAAAGCCTGCTTAAGCTGATAAGAGTGCCTTTTTATATTTCAATAAAGTTCTAGATGAAGTTTAATAATAAGCTAAATTGGAAGGATTATGTGACAAAAAAGTGATATTAAAAAAAATAACTTAAAATCATTGGATGTTGAAGTCCTTAATACAAAATAATTCATACTATGTGAAATTCAGTTGACCTTGTGAGAGCACACATAGATGGTCTGTACTATTTCTTCCACCCACTGTTCACTCTCCCGATTCTTTCACTGTAGGTTTCTGACATGCTGCATTACATGACAAATTACTAAGAACACTGATCCAAATTCTGCTTTTATTTATGCCAATAAAATACCCACAGTAAAATACATGGAGTTACTTCAGATTACTCTGCATAATCCAGACTGAACACCAAGTTCAGTTTTTGTAATGGGTTAGGCCATCATACACCTTTCTTGGACCTATATCTCTTAACAGAGGAAAGAGATGATCTTAATTAAAATCTTTATAGTTTGTATACATACATTTATACTAATGGGTACAACTTAGTATTCATATCATTGCTACTTCTTACCTTACAGAAGGTTTTACAGGCATCTAGGATTGGCCTATATCCAGTACAGCGGCACAAGTTCCCTGAAAAAAGGAAATAATTAGAAAAAGCTTTGTTCTAAAGCAAGTGGCTTTAAAATGTCATGTCTTTATATGAAGCTTGCATTTTTGAATGTTAGAAGTTTTAGCTCTCTGAAAGACAAAATTGATCTGCAACACAAGACTTAGGACCCTGCAGCTCCTGAGGCTATTTTTTGAAGGGGAGTATGACATACTTGAGAGCTGCACTAGAGGAAATGCTGACTTCAGCTTAGCATGCAGGAGAACAAGAGATTGTACAATGTTCTTCACACACTCAAAATGTTTTTCTCCTTTCCTCTAAGTTATTTCTGATAGTGAAGGTGGTTAGCATTACACCGCCATCTAAGTTCACCTCATAGTAATGGGAAATGCCTTTGGCTCCACTGTGACTCCAGAGCACAACAGATGACAGAAAGCTATTTTACCTTTCCCATAGTGAAGATGGTCTGCAAGGATCTACCTTATTTGACTGTTTTATTCCTACCACAAAGGGCTCTCCAATGAGGCTTATGACATTCTCAACTCCAGATGTAATGGGATTTCAGAGATATTCAGATGCAGCTACTTGTCCAATATGACATCATTTTTGCACATCTGATTTAAAGCACTTCAAGAGACACATATGGGGATGTTTGGAACACCTCTCCCTGAAACAATCCACAGCTCCATGCTTCATTTTCCAGGAGAAAAGAATGACAGGGAATACAAGGTCTGTATCCAGCACCAACTCTGCTAGGAAGAGCAATTTGTATAGAGTACATACATACATGTATGCATGTGTACTCACGCAGACATGCACTCACATACTGTGGTGGTGCATTTCTCCCCTCCCTTCTCCTGGGCTGCTTTATGGTCTTAAAAATTGCTATTAAGCCTTGCGCAAAGAGTTTGGTGGTTAAGCATCCCTTGACTGTATCAAAACTTTTGCATAACTAAGGCAAGGATGGCACTGATGGTACCAGGAGTACCAGTTGCCTGGCCAAGGTGGGGAATGAGAGCCAAAATAATTAATCATTTCCTGCTAGCCCTGGAACATAAACTTATCTAACCATAAGTCGGGTAGATCCGTATCAGTGTCACTGGAAATTTGAAAATTCTGGTAATTTCCAACCTGGGTAGTGGCCAAGATGGAAATCTACTAATGCCTAAAGTAAATAATCTTGTGATCCTATAAACAGTGGTCCCAAAGAAGACTCTTTGACCTCTCCTGGACCACAGTGGGCTCCATCCAGCATCTCCCTCTTATGAGACATTTATGCTGAGAAATTTTAAGTCAATGTCTCACTGAACTCGAGGGGAATTTTTAACGGGTATACCTTTGTTTATATATATATATATATTCTCTCTCTCTCTCTGTATATATATATATCTATATCCATATAAGTATATGTATCTCTACGTTCATATCTGTTTCTATATTTTTGTGTGTTTATGATGAGAAACTTTACTGAATTAGTCAATTTTTGTTAGGAATATCATACAATCTACTCAATTTTCCTGTTGTATGTTTTTTCTAGTAACAGAGTGAACCTTGCTATCAAACTCTGCTAAGTCACACTTTTATAAATTCATATTAAAATAACTTTCTCTAATATATTTGTCAGTAATTCTTTGAGTGACCTTAAATCCTTCCACCTGTGACATACACAAAGTATCTGAAGAAAATGGTTCAAGGACATACCCACAAATTAAAAAGTGGCAATATTTACCAGCCAGAGCTGCAATCATCTGCTCTGAAGTTGGTTCTGTGTGGTTTCTGAGCAAAGTGTATATAGACATCACCATTCCAGGAGTGCAGAAACCACACTGGGAGCCATGGCACTTGGCCAGCCGTTCCTGAAATGAAACACCACAAATAGCACTCCTTCCAGTGTACATCACCATTCTAATTAAACCTCTCTTAAACAGGAGATGCTACACTAAATGTCTTCATAGTAAATAAGACATTTTAAGTAAAACAGTTTAAGCAATCTCAAACAAGAATTTGGGTGTGGTGACCAGGCATGTCTTGCTAAGGAAGCTAATTAACCTTCAGTGGACTTCTGTCTTTTTTGCATTCATACTAAAACATCAGCTAATGGGGCATTGTCTAAGAGGCACCATTAGCCCAAAGAGAGCACAAGACTGAGGCACTCCAACAATTCCTACATACCAACTATTTGATCAGGCTGTCAGTATTAAAGCAAGATCCATCATGAGCCAAATCTCATCAGCCTCACTCAACCAACCACCAGCAACTTGTCTTGTCTTCTGTTAACATTTAGCAGGGAGAATGATCATCATCTGAAATTCCCATGCCCTAAAATCACTGCCACTCAAGACAACCCATACAAAGGAAGAAATTAGTAATCCTCTTTCACAGTGATACTGTACTCTCACCTGAACTGGATGAACTCTGGTTTTTGTACTTCCAACACCTTCCACTGTGGTAACTGCTGCACCATACAAGGAGCAAATGGGAAGCAAACATGCATTTGCTGAATAATGTCTTTGGAACATAAAGGAGAATAAATAACACAAATATTATGTTATTATCATAAACATGTATGAATTATTTTGTGGTCAGTCAATACACAGTTTATACTTACAAAGCAGTCATTATCATCATTTGGAATGAGAAGAGAATAAGTTTTATGGAAGGGATCACTTACTAGCTGCGTCTCTTGTCCCCAGTATAAAAACCATATCTATGAGGGACAGTTCTGTGGAATTTATATCTTCCTTAATACTTCAGTCTTTTCTAATTGCCCTCTTGCTTGTTTCTCCTGCCCACAAGCAACTGGTCAAGTGTGTTTTGGGGGACGAAGATGGGGAAGGGAGGGTTGGTGTAGTCATTTGAAGGAAGTAAAGAATTTCTGCTGCAAATTTATAACCAAATTTTTAACCCAAGGGAAATTCTGATGTAAAATAAATATCATTCTAAATAGGGACAACATACAAAAATAAAAATTCTTAAAAGCATTTGATCATTAGCAATAAAATGTTTTGTTTCACTACAGTTGAAATGTTTCTTTTCAAGTGTCATTCTGACTGTTTTAATTTCAGCTCTTATAATAATTTTAAACATCTTTATTTGCATTGCATTTCAATGTAATGCAATTGTCAAAAGGAACAACTGGAACCTTTTAACTTTTTCCCCACCTAGAAAAATATGTAATTGACAATTACATGTTACCATTTAGTAATTTTACTCAAGTTTTCTCAATTTAAAAGTAATTTATTCCAGTTTTAAGCTTAAAGAATCTCTGGTTTTGAGTTTCAAAGTCCTTCCTTTTGCAGGCAGGGTGTAGAGAGGGAGTTCAGTATTAAAGGGCTGATAAGACTCAAACTTTTGCTTGCTCTATCTTCGTATCGGTCATATAACAGAGCTGTAGGTAGGAGGCATGTTCTAGTGGTCAAGGTGTTACAAAGGGTGTCTCCTAAAGACAAAACTCCTTGCAGGAGCTGTCAGCGTATATGAACAAATTAAGCATTTGAGCATCTATTTCAGCAAATTTATAACACAGATGAATGAACACCTTTTTTTTTTTTTCTTTATTAAATGACCCTTCCTTTGGATTCCTTTACTATTAAGTACAGATTTTATAACTTTGTTTTTATAGTTTCATATCTGGAAATTTTATCTACAGTAATAAAATTCTGTCTGGTTTTCAAGATGTTCTCTTAATGATACCGTATCTTCTTCAAAGCTGGCTCATAAGTTGATATCATCACCGTGCAGGCACCACAGCCACCTCCTCCACAGCCATACTTAGTACCTGTAAGATGGACTGAAAATGTTGTCATTAGGGAAAAATCAAGTTTCATTCTGGTCTTTATTCTGCTCAAAATCTTGAGGTCACCTTTTTTCCTGAACTGCTAAGGAACACAGAATTAGTTTGGTATGACAGAATATGTATCAGACCTCTTTCTATACTGGATTAAATTTTTCAGTGAAAACAAGACTGAAATTAAGGAATGACATGACCAAAATCCTGTTCCCAAGAAAACAGAAAACTTGATTCTGGTTTCTTTTGGAAGGGGGGTAAATTGGGACAGAAAGAAGAGTGAAAAATAGTTTTTCAAGTGAAAATATGAAAAGAAGAAATGTGTAATGGGCAAAATGGCTATATATCTGAAGTTCTAGTGGAAGACTAAGTTTTTCCCAGAAGGCCCAGGATATTAACCTTGCATCTCATCTGAAAGATCACACATATGAGAGAAGTGCTTGTTTCTATGAATCTGAAACTGTGGCCAATCTGAAGTTATGAACTGACAAACAGCCACCAAAAGGAAGATGTTTTACTCCCCATTTCTCCTTCCTCTTCTGTCCTTCCTCTTCCTGACATCACGTGCTCCAAAACCCAAGACCTCTTGCACCAATTCTTTTTCTCACCAGTCCCTTCTATGAGCTGACTAATGATGAGCTGACTAATTAGCAACTGAGTCCCTAATCCAGCTGAAAGCCTCTGTTTTTCCTGGGTGAATTTTCTGCTGGCCTAATGAGTGTAATTAGTATACAGAGAGGTCTAAGGAACTCCACAGCTGGCACAAGCTGCAGGAAGAGAACTGTCTACCAGTAGCTGGGAATGAGGGAGCAGAAACAGGGCTACTTCTTTTCACACCACATCGTCAAAATAAAAAAATGTTTGTCAGTGTAAAGGTTAGCACTCCACCTGCAGTGCTTTGTAAATACATGCTTTGAGATGCATGTATTGTTTTATGGTCTTATCTAATTAAGCTCTACCACTTTTTCCACTGTAAAGTGCTTTATTGAGCTCTTTCACAGACATCCTGACCTGTCAGACAAGGCAAATGCATTTTAAGATACAGTTTCTTCCCTTCTTGCACTTCTATTTACTTGTTAATTTACAACAGGCCTTCCACTTATTAACAGTGGTCTAATGTGCCAATTCCTATGGCATTTAGCCTCAAAATAAAGATGACAGGATGCTTAGAGAGGTATTATACTGTACCTTGCAGTTATAAAACATATTACTGGAAGATGCTGAAGTTCCTCATGCTCACTCAGGCAATAATTTAACATTATAAAGAGTCTGGCAACATCAACATAAGATGTTTCTGTCCTATATTTTTGTTCCCCGACATTAATTTTTGTCTCTTTACCAAAGCTAGCTGTCCCCTAGCTATGTTAACTTGACTGCATGTGGAGGCTTGCTGTGATAAGGATCAGTGCCGCTATCCGGTTAACAAAGTGGTCTGAGTCACAGCTGGGCAGGCACACCTCAGGGAATAGCACACTGTCACACAGGCCTAAGCAACAGAGGGCAGGAATACTACAAGATGACATTTAAACTGTATGGTGGAACCAACTAGCTCCTGAAAAAAAAGTTAATGTTATCCTTATTTTATAAGCAACACCCAACGATACAGAAAGGTTAAGTTATTTTTCAAGGTGTTAGAGCAAGTCAGTGCAGAATCACATTATCTCACTCACCAATACACCAGTAAAGTACAGCTCTTGTGGTAGGGCTGGTACTGAACTACTTAGTGGGTGTAGGTTTCTTCTCCAAAGTAACAAGTGATATGCCACCCTAAATGATTTTATGATTCTACTTTTTATAGTCTGATGGAGTCTGAAGTTGTCCAAATTACTTAAAAATAATTTCATAAGCACCATAACTACAGCAACCTAATCTGCTCCAGACTCCTCCTTACGACTAACAAATATGTTTTGACTTAAGTTTTTCTTTTGAGACAAATATAAACACTCTCTCCCATGTGTACACAGTACATCACTTGCCCTGCGTGGGTATGTTTTGTGAGACAGTCTAGGAAGCTGCAAAAAGGAGATTCTGTTCTTCCCAACATCTGCTCCCTGCTCCTGGCTGCAAGTCCCTACACATGTGTTCAGAATATTACACAACAGCTTCATGAACACTGGAAATAAGCTTGTAGCACAGCAGATTTTGGAAACCTTCTAAGAACAGTTGAAACCAGACACACAGTCAGGCCTCTGAAATGGTGAAGAGAAAGAGAGGAAAAGATCAGAGCAGGTGCTGCACAATTTGTAGCAACTCAGAAAGCCACTGAGCTGTGGACTGAAACCAAGACAGGAGGAAAGAACCTAATTTAACTTTTTTCTGTTCAAAAAACATTCCTGTTAATATTTACTTACTATTAAACCTGTTTTTTTATATTTGAAATCTGTTTGGAGTTCTTATAAGAAAACATAGATTACCTCAAAATTCCAGCAGACTCAGGGTCTCATCACAAGATCTCCCCTCTCCAGGGAGAGAGACTTATACAAAACTTGGAGACTCCTATTCTGTCAAGCTTTATCTACACTGGCCAAAAGGTTCTTAGGTTTCTTTATGGGAGGAGAGAGGAGGAACACAGATAAACACATAGAAATCATGCCTGACAGCATAACTTACTTTGTTTAGGAAACTAGGCTAAGAATACAGCAGCTCACTGAAGAATATTTGACTTAAGAAAGACACATCATTTCATATGGTTGTTTTATCTTAAGGGAGTCATAACTTCCTTAACCTGGTAAATCACATTTTTATAATTTATGAGAATTTTGCCTAAATAAGGCTTTCAAATGAGTGACTTAAGGGAACAGACAAGAAAAGGATACGTCTCTTTCGCAGATAAGACAACAGCATTTGTTCAGGATCAGCATTTTTCTCTATTATCTGCAGTAAGAAACGGAAAACGAGGTTTATCTAAGAAACCAAGGCTTTTCAAAATTCAGGGCACAGACTACACTCCCACAAAGCCAGAACAGAATCCTTTTCTGGCTCCCTCTCTTATAACCAGACTAATTGCCAAAGACCACAGGACAGTTTGGGCTCCTTCTGGAAATTATTTCTCAGATATGTTTGCAGGAAAGAAGTGTCAGGGCACCTTGCAACTACTAAAAATAACTGTGGCTCAGTGAAAGGTCATACTGAGGGAATTCACCTTCAGCCACACTAGGAATAAAAATGTGTGAGAACTTTGCTACAACAGAGGCAGCAGGGAATAAAGAATTAATGATTTGCAGATTTTAGAGTCCCCCTGGCATTTTAACCTACTGGGATGAACACTAGAGGAAGCCTGTAAAGCTATCAGCAGG